TCATTTTCGTATTATTTGAAGGATTCCTGTATTAACATTTAAATTTAAATAATTGTATTGAATTTTTATTAACACATTAATGTCTAACCAATATTTATTTACTATTCCATTATAGAAACATAGAGTATTCAGAAAAAGCAAAAAATTAAAAATTAAAATCAATAATTTGCTAAAAAATATTTTAGTAACTTTTTACAATAAAATGTTGACTTATGAAAATTAAGCGTAAACTAATATTTAGTAGGTGTCTAATTCGAAAATCATTTTACTCTATTAATATTTTTTCTTTTAATTTTTCCATTATTTTTTTTTCAAAATAGTTTTATAATTAAACATAAGAATGTGTAAATTAAAAGCAAATAAAATACATAATTTAAAAGTTAAACAAGTTTTTGTAAAAAAAAAAAAAATAAGAACGAAAAATCCAAAAGAAACAACAACGAAAACATTTTTTAAATTTTGTTTGCCAATGTCATCCAAAATACAGAAAACAAAATTGAAGAAAAAAAAAAACTACAGCAGCAGAAATTCATAAAGAATTTCATAATAAAATTTTCAACATTTCTTCTAACTAGTCAATCAAGCTATTTTCGATGAGATCAGCATGAACAGTTTTGTTAAGATTAAATCAAAAATTAGGTAAGCCTATAAGAGAATAGTTACTTAATTTTAATTTATTAACAATTTGATTTCTTAAATAAAAATATTTGAGTTTATAAAATACTGCGAGTCTATGACAATGACACTAACTTTCAATATTAATTAGTTGATTGATTCAAATCTAATAATCTAATCTATAAAATTTTCAAAATTAAAATGGATCTAAATTTATTGGTCCACTTATATCCACATATCTAGCCTAACATTACAAGTAACAGGAATTCCCTAATTACTAGTTGAAATTATATTAAAATCTCGCCAAAAATCAACTGAAAAAATTGGGTAATGCTTAAATTGGATAAGAATTCTAATTTGAAAAATCAAAATCAATTTAGATTATATCAACAGTACCGAATAAACTCCAACAAATGAATCAGTTTTTCTTATTCCGCTTATTCAAAAATGTTAATTTAGTTACCTAAAATTTAAAAAGTCAAAATCTTTAAACAATTTTTTTAACCAGAAAAACAGAATTTTAAAAATAAATATTTAAAAACGTAAATATTAAATTTGAACCGATTAAATTTGATTATAAAAAAAAAATTTAATTAAAAAAAAATTTAAAATTCTTAAAATCATTAGGGTGCCATTAGATATTACAAAAAAAAATTTCAAGTTCATTTTTACAAAGAGACAATAAAGAAATTTACAGCGCATGATCAAAATTATTATATAGATTGCATTTATATTTAAAACATAATCAAAAGTTGAATGAATTTTTATTATTGGAAACTGAACTTAAAAAAATTTTCATAAATTTTTAAACTCAATAAAATTAATAAAAACAAAATCAATTGCTTAATTCAAGAATATGTTCTTCATGCTAAGCTTTATCTACCCCATTCTAATTTTAATTCAAATTAATATGAACAATTAAAATTATAATAACTAATAAATTAATATTTGATTATTGATTTTTGATATTTGATTATTTACTTAAATTATTCATCAAGTTACTGAGACCAAAATTCGGAATAAATTAAACCTAATGCATTTGCCTATACCACAAACATATTCTATTTGTTAACTCAATATTATAAAATAAGGTACCTATCTTTAAATTTCACTGCTTTTGAATTTACAATGCCCGTAATTTTAATTTCAATTCCAAAAAAAAAAATACAAATTAAAAAAACTAATTCCCCTATTAAAACAAATAAAGCCGCTCGAATTTCCAATTAGACTTTTTTTTAAAATCAACTAGCAAAACGAAAATTTCAAATATCGAGAAATAAACTGCCTTACGTCTAGTAGCTTAAAATTTGTAAACGGTTTACACTTTTACAGAAATCATTTTTAAATCAGAATTTATATTTCTTTAAGTCGCTAATCACAGTCTGCTCTTAATAATTTTAAAAAGCTAATATGGACACCTACAATGCATGTACATATAAAAATAAACTAATCATAAGACCTTGATTCTTTGTATTGCATCATATTTTGTAATTACATACATACTCAGATCATGTTTTGTAATTACATACATACATACATTAAATTATTATGAAAATGCCCCGAAAACTTGAAATTGAAATACAAACTAAATTTAAAGAAATGAAAAACAAAAAATATTTTCTCTTTTAATATTTTTTTTTGATTTCTTTCTCTTTTCTTTTTTTTTTAATTTTATCAGTCAATCACCAACAATTTATTTAATCGCACCTCTTATCAAACAAAAAAAAAATGGAAAAAAAAAATATAATAAAAAAATTTAAGCGCCAATTTTTAATATTTTTACTTTTTCTTTTCCATTTCTTTTGCATTTATTTTTATTTCTCTGATGTTTAATTTTTTACTCTTATGATTTTCATAAAAAAAAAAATTTTTTATGATTAAAGAGGGTGCACAGCACAGCCTTTTCTTTTACCAAATTTAAAAAATAAAGCTCAATAAAAAAAAATTCTCTTAAAAATGTGAAAAAAATTTTTTTTAATATAATGGCAGGTGATATACTCATATTTTATATATATTAGAATAGATGACTAGGTAGGTACTTTAATATTTAAATATTTATTGGAAATTATATCATAAAATTTTCATATATCAATCAAATGTAAGTAAGTATAACAAGTATGTCAAATATACGAGGCGTTATTATAAATATCTTCTTTTGCCTTAAATCGATACATAAGTTCTACGAATTTTTCAGGAGAACGAAATTGAAACCGATACGACTAGTATAAGCCAAACCTTAGATTATAAATCACATTTTAAAGAAATTAGTTACATTTTTTTTTAATTTCAATTAAATTTATATAAAATTATTCAGAAATAATTCAGAAACTTTTAAAAATGTTTTCATATAAACCAATTGTTCTGCAAAACCATTCTGCTTTGATAATTGAGTAAATGACATATGAATTGTGATAACACAAGAACAACGTCAACTTAATTTGAAATTTAGAAGTTAAATTTAATTAAAAGGTTTCCAAATCTCAAAAATTTTTAATACCTACTTACTTATATTATGTAGGAGTAATTTGAATAACTTTAATTCGTATTTCTTTTACATATTCTTTTATTTGTTAAACCGAAAATAAACTCAAATAAATTTGTGTGTTTTCTTTAGCACCTACATATTTAAAAAACATTTTCTAATATTCAATAATTTCCTCCAGATATTTAATTAATTTAATATTATTTATTTAAAACTATTGAAATTATTAAGTATACCTTACTTATTAGTTATACCTTACATAAAATAATATTGTAAAATAAATAACTTAGGTGTTAACCATTTATTTATTTTACATTGTTTTATAATCAATACAAATATAAAATTTTTATATAAATATCTAAAATATATCTAATATAGGTATTTATTTTATATAAGTAGGTATTTTATATTTTATTATACATATATTATGTCCTTATAAATTTATGGATACATTAAGGAAATTGGGACAAGCATGCGAAAAGGATAATTTTTCTGCATTGTAATATTTTTATTTTTATATTCTTATTACGTTTACTTTTACACTCTTTATTTAAGTGTATGTATCAACTTATACATAATCATATACCTATACATATTTTTGTAGATACATAAATACAATGTGAACTTCAAATAATATAAATTATATAGTATAACAATATATTATTATGTACAACATCAAAAATATAGAAGTAAGAGCAATATATCGCAGAATTATGTAGATACATAAATATAAGCACAAATAAATGAATTGTTTAGTAAGCGTACACAAGATTCAAATTATTTATTTCATTCAAAAAATAATTTCATTCAATTTGAAAAATTAAGAAAATTATTTTAAGAAATTTAAGAACGCAGAGTACCTATTTTTCTACCTACCTAAAATTAAAATATAACAATTAAAATTATAAAATAATTTCATGATTTTTATGCTCTTCCTACCTATTATACTTTTAGGTATACCTAAGTATTTAACGAAAAACATTTAAATTAAATGATTATTTAAATTTAAAATCAAGAAAAAATTTGAAAAATTTTCATTCTTTTTCTTTTTTTTAATTTTAAACCTCTTCCCACGTTTTTTTTTCTATTGCTTATTCTTCAACATAACCAATATAATATGTATGTAAGTATTATGTATAACCACATTTATTCTACTTATTTATGCATACGCATTTTGGAAGAGGTTAGAAAAATGTGGGCTCTTTGCATTTTATCAATATATTTTATTACTAGTTATGCAAGTAAGAGTATTACCTACCTATAGATGCACTTAAATCTATATATTTAGATTAGTATATATATATATATATATGTATACATACATACATAATCATACATACATAATAAGATAGATGGTTCTAAATCTATGCTTTATTTAAAATTTTTCTTCATATGTACCTATATCTACCTATCTTACCTACCTACTGAATAATTGGAGCCTCTTTTATATTTCACATTTTAAATTAACTAGGCAAATTATTGTATTAAAAAAGTGCATTATGCATTTAGACAGGTAAGCTTGTTTAGTTATATATGTGCACATACTTATTAATTCTATATTGTATGTACTTAGAACTATGCCTAGATTACCTATATTTCACCTACCTATCCGGGTAGATAGGTATGTATACACTAAATTTAATTCTCTTTATTTGAATCTGATTCAATTATCACAAGGTAAGTGTACAGTAACAGGCGACTCACTACAATATTATATTTCAAATATAAAAAATTTGGAAATTGGTAGGTAATAAATGCAATATACACTCATGAATGCAATTAATACAAATGTGATTTTAGGATTGAAGGAAATTAGGATGTGTTAATGAACTAAAATAAAAATAAAATTTAAATAACTATAATAAAAAAAATTATAAAAAATTTCAAAAATTTTTACACTTACTTTTTGGTATCTTAGAATATAAAAAAGAAATTAAAAATTTTGTAATATGGGTACGTAATCCTCTTGTGTATTTCCTTTACAAAGCCGGCCACAAGCCAAATCAGCTAAAATTTCTTTGGATGAATTTTTTCTTATAGAAATATTAGTCACCTATTCAAATTTTTTTTTTTTATACAATGGATGCTTCTTCAAAAAATGCCTCCTTTTTTCTTAAGTTCAGAAAAAAAAACAATTAATATTTTTTTTCTATTCAGGAATTCTTTTTATTCTTTTTTCTTCTATTTTGCTGGTCCACACACAGGAATGGATGCCGGAATATTTTATTTCAACGTGTTTCTTTTTTACATAAAATTATTTTTCCTTTTTTTGATATCAAAAAATCTTTTTAATTTAAACTTCTTGTTTTAAAGACTTTTTTTTTAAATATTTTGCCTTTTAAAATTGAAATTTTTAGAAAATGACAAAAAAAATTTTTTTCAACTCACTGGTTTACTTTGATTTTTTTTTTTAATACAAAATATTTTTGCTTTTCTTCTTTTTCTATAAGTAATTTTTTTCTTTTAATTTTTTTTTTACTTTTATATTTTTCTGATATCAAAATATACTTTTATTTTCTATACAAAATTGAAATTTTCTAATAATTTAATTAAAATTTAAATTATTTTTTGCTTTTCTTGGTTTTGTGAGCTTTCTGGATTAAAAATTATTTTCACACAAAAATTTTCCTCTTATTCTTCTCTTTTTTTTTTTTATTAAGTAAAATTCTTTTTTTTTTTTTTCCTTCGCTCCAAACAAGCAAGCAAAATAGTGTAGAGTCGGCTATTTTCTTATACAATTTGTACTAAATTGTGTGTATTCACGCCGAAATCCCAAGTATTTTGTGCAATTGTCACCTATACATTGACAATAAAATACCAAACACATTCTATGTAAAATTAAAATTAAACAATTTGATTGGCTATATCTGGTGACTTCTATCAGGCAACTTCTATCAATCATGAAAATTCGGAATTAATACCGAATAACGTTGTGTTTTGAAGGAAAAAATAAAAACAACAAATGTCAAAAATTTTTGTTGTTTATTTTAGGAATTAGGTATGCTTATTAAAAACACAAACCATTTTGTTTAAGTTTATGGAGAAAAATAAAAATAATTCGTATTTTTACATCATAAGAAATTCCTAGGAAGAATAAAATATGAAGTAGGAATTGTGAATGTTAAGGAACGTTTTATTTTGAATGGTTTATAACTTTGAATGAAACATTAATTGTGAATCATTGTGAAAAAGTGTAAATTTAAAAATATAGTTCCAATTTCAAATAATAGGGTCGCATTTTTATTAAAATGAAATTTTTAGAACGTGTTATATGAGAATCGTATCTTTTTCACAAGATACAAGAGAAATTTTTTGAGATTTCAAATTCAAATTAGTTAATAAATCGAATATTCTGGCAAATTTAAAATCGAATAAATTTATGTATATTTTACAAAACTCTCTTTCTATTTCAAAAATTTCCTTAATACCTTAACTTAAGGAACTTTTCAATAAAGTTTTCGATCCTTTTCAAAACCTTACATTTTCATATAAAAATAATGTTTTTTCTTACTGTTACTAATCTTCTCTGAAATACGGAAGAAATTTAGCAAATGAATAAACTACAAGTAATTGGCCGTGTTATTTCAACTAATTTTTCTTTTTAATTTAATCTTAGCAATTATACTAAATATACATTTATATTTAAAATCCAAATACAATCCTATAAAGAATCCTATAAGAGAAATCCAGTTCTAAATTTTAAATTACTATTTCTATAATATTTGACTCGTTTGACCTCATTTTACCTCTATTAGAACTATAAATTTTACCATAATAGAAAAACAATTGGCAATTGCTACTCTATACAAAAATTTAAAATAGAAAATTTTGTAAAGATTTTAATATTAATGATTTTGATGGCTTATATAGTTTGGCTTAATAATCGGCTTATATATCCGTTTAATAGTTCATTTTCAGGTAAATGATATAGATTGGGCAAACCTATATGTGTTTAACATAATTCCTACTATTTAAAATATCGTATAATTATACACCCATATTCTGTTAGTCGCCTATCAATTGAAGTGATATCTATTATTGAAAAATATTTTGGTTTTCATTAAAGAATTTTAACTTTTGGTATTGATTTTTCATGAGAAAAATCTGAAATCATTTGAATTTTATTCAGAAAATAAATAAGTGATGCGACTAACAGAATATCGAGTGATAATCGTTCTTAAAGTTCTCAAAAACAAAATTGTCATATAATAGAACTATTATTCATTATTCAAATTTAATTTTAATTACTATTGTGAATTTATTTAAATTTATTCGCTCAAATAATACATATACACACAACAACTTGTTGATCATACTATAACTGATAACATATAACATATTGCACCAACATTCATTCACAATAGAAAAATTAAGTTGAAAACAAAATTATTTTGGAAAATATATTTGCAAAAAATAAAAGGAAAAGAAAAAATTTAAAATATTAAATAAAAAGCTTTTCAAGCTTTTAATAGAAATTCAAATAAAACAAAATTTTAACTGAGATTTAAGAAAAAGCTTAAAATGTTTTTTAAAGCATTTTAAAAAAAAATTAGCATTCAAAAACGAATTGTCACATACACATACACATTAATGTTTATTTTAGAAATTGAAAAAGAAAGGAAAAAAAAAACTAAAAATAAAATTCAAATAAAAAATTTTTTTTCTTTGTTTTCTTTTTTATCTTATTTTCGATTCTTTTTATTTAATTAATTTTTCAAAATCAATAATTTCATGCTTAATAAATATTAATATTTAAAAAATGTAAAAAATAAAGTGTAACAAAAAATGTAAAAAATAAATCAAAAATTATAAATATTTTTTACATACTTATGAATATAATGCACATACATATATATATAAATTTTATTTACAATGCCATAAATCAAGTTGCCAGAAGCTTGAAACCTTTTTGTTTTTCAATTAATTTCACTTATATATACAAAAGCGCAAATTAGACAAAAAATTATTTAATAAATAATTTTTAAACATTTTATACATAATATTTTTAGCCTATTTTTTTAAATTAATTTTTGTACATGAATTAAAAATTTTCTTAATATAAAAATAAAAAGAATTAAAATTAAAAAAAATTTAAAATTATTTAAAAATAAATTCAAAATAAAAAAATTATGAAATGTATATAAGAGACTTAAAAAAATAAAAAAAAATAAAAATTAAATTATTTTAAAATTTCAAAAACATTACCAACAAATTTTTAGTTTAATGTTTTCTGAAAAGGTTGCTTTAACTGTCTTCTTGCTCATGTAGTCATATCACAGACCTATAAATTTATTTTTTGAAACACAAAAAATAAACACGGAAAAAAGATAAAAAAAAAGTACAAAGAAAAAAACGACCAAATATATAGGAAAAAGTATATTTTTTTTTTTATTATTGATTAAATAAAATATTTAAAAAAAAAAATTAAATAAATTAAATTCGTAATGATATTAAAAATTAAGAGAAAAAAATTAAATATTTAGAAAACATTAAAAATAAATTAAAAATAAAATAAATATTTTGTTTTTGTTTTTCCTATTTTTTTTTGTATATTTATTAAAAAAATATTATGCGTATTTTTTTTTTCAATATTTAATTACATTTTCCTCTTTGTTATATTCTACATTCTATTAAATTAAATTTTTTGTTTATTAATTATGCCAATTTTATTATTGCATATTATTAGGCGTTTTGTTTTTATTATAATTGACCTCTTTTTGAATTGTGAATGATAAATTTGAAAATTGAATAAAAATAACCAATTTGTTTAACGAAACGAATAATTTAACCTAATTTAGTGAATTTTAGTGAGTTAGTTTAAGTTAAATTATAATTTTAAAGCATCAGGGTCTAATACTGATGCTTTAAAATTATAATTTAATTATTCAACTTCACAAGGTAATAAATTTCTCTAAATGTTTTCCTACTTAAATAAAAAAAAAGTTTTAATTTTTGAGTGACCAGTTTGTCGCAATTAAAAAACTTAACTAATTTGAAGATTTAATTTTTAATAATTTTTAACTGTTATATTAATTCATTTTAGTAAATAATTATGGAATAATTATGGTATATTATCCATTAAAGAGCGTATAACATTCTAAACGTATACGTATAATATATTGTCAACTATATAATACATCAACCTATACAAAGGTATTTAAGAGAAATTAAGAGGTGTAGTTACGGACATCTATAGTTACGGTAATTTTTGCTCTTTTATAACACAATTTCCATAAAACACAGATTTCTTACTTCAGCCAGAGTAGAGTTTCAATATAATTATTTGGTAATATATTTTTGAACATTGCTTTTACTATATGCAATAAGTTCCCATAACCCATTTACTACAATACTGAAAATTTATTTACACCAGCTTTTGTCAGAAATTTAAACAAGTTAATAATTTTTCAATATATTTAATTTACTGACAAATTTTGCTATAATATGATTCATTAGACATTATTGTTGTAAAATAACAAAACTACTGATAATCATTCCATTAATTCAGAACACTTCAAAAGTTCAGAATGAGTATTAAAGTATATACCTATTTACTTCCAAATTTAACAAATAAAGAGGGAGGTACACTTGTACACAACTGCAATAAATTTGCTCGATTGAGTATTTTACATCTACTTATTTACTAAATGAGAATAGAATGTAAAGTATACAATATTATTTTACCTATTTATGTGCCTACATAAATTTTTATATTTAAATAATTCAAATTTTCTTTTTAGAAAAATACACAAATAGAATATTTATTTACACATTTTATAAAGTCTTTATTGAAAAACAATGTACATGAGATAAAAAGAATATTGCATATAAAAGAAATCCTTTTTATTATGGAAAATATTTCTTATCCAATCACAGAGTGTCTCATTCCCAAGCGAACTGCTATATACCATCGTATAAATCGTCATGAGGAGCCATAAACTTTTTATATGCAGACAATTTTCACATCTTAACAGGTTTCAAGAAAGGAAGTTTTAAATTTTTTTTTTATTTTTGAAATTTTAAGTATAACTCCGTTCCTGTATCAAGATAAACGCAAGATGAAACATGATTTGGAAAGATCAAAACAAGAGCTTTCTTATGAATGTCAAAGTTTCTCTCAATCTTTTCGAAAATAATAAGGTTTTAAATTTGGCACTATTATATATATACATATAGCATTCAAATATAGACGTAATATATAGAGGTACGTTATATTCTACAAAAATAAAGTCATGCAACACATTGTATTTGTAGGTATATATGCATGTATAAAATAAATAACTTGTATAAAATAAGATAACCTTTTTGTTAACTTTGAAATCAATTCTCCTTATCAAGTATATATAACATGAATATATGTTACATAATATATTTTCATGACGAAAGAGAAAAGAAAATAAAATTGAGAAAAATTTTGCTATCCTCTTCTCTCACAATAAAGAATAATTTAATTTAAAATGATAATTCAATTTAAAAATTTACGGCACTTGCACACTTTATAAATTTAATTTGATAAAGTAAGAAAAAGTATAAGCGCACAGTTTTAAATTGACTGAAATAAAATGTAATATAGGTATAAATGAATCTACTTTCCTTTTAACAGGGTATTCGTTTAACAAGTAACATTTAACATATTACACATTTCATTGAAAATCTATAAATTTAAGTAGTTTTTACAGAAAATTACAACATTTTTAGTAAGCCAATTAAGCATTTATTTCACTTTTAATTACAATTCGGGCAACACTTAAAGGGATTGGATTAAAGGGAAACAGTAAA